AGGATGAGGTATCCTCATACACTTATTAAAACAGCTAGAACGCAAAGCAGTGCTGGTGAAGTTGCCAGGAAACTTGATCCCTCACACACTTCTAGTGGCAATGTTAAAGGGTATAGCCACTCTGAAAAAACTGGCAGTTTCTTCGAAAACTAAAAACTTGCATCTCACCTAGCAGCCATGTTCTTGGACATGTATTTTAGACACATGAAAACTTACACTGATATAAAAATGTATCCATAAATAGCTTTATTTGCAATAGCCATAAATGCTGGTAGTGGTGGCTCATGCCTTAATTCTAGGACTCAGGAGACAGGGGCAAGTGGATCATTTTGATTCAAGGCCAGCCTGCTCTACATAGCATGTTCCAGGATAGCCACGGCTACCTAGTGAGATCCTGTCTCAAAACCAACAAACTGCAAACTACCCAAATGTCCCTCAAGGCATGAAGGTTAAACAAACCCTGGCATGTTCATGTCATGGAGTATTATTCAGATATAAAAAGGAACAAACTGTTGCCATATGCAACAGCCCATGTGGATCTCCAGGACATTATATTCAGTGGAGAGGGGGAAGTCAGTCTCAAAAGATCATATGCTATATGCTTCAGTTTTTAAACGGTTCTTAGCATGACAAAATTACAGACAGGAAACAAATTAGAGGTTGTCAGGGTAGGGACATGGGCAGGGAGTGGGTAAGGAGGTGAGTATGACATAAGGGATGAAACTAGGGACATCTTTGAACTGATGGAACAGTTCTGTACCTTGAATGCAGTGGTGCATACACAAACCTACATGGAACAAAAGGGCACAGAACTATGCACACATGAATTCATGTCAGCTCCTGGTTGTGCTACTGCACAACTCCCTAAGATGGAACCATTGCGGAAAACTGCACCAAGCATACACTGGACCTCTCAGTTCTATTCTTCCAACTTCCTATGAATCTATATCTATATGAAAAGAAAAATTATGCTGCATGTGTTTTATGCTCTGAAATTCTATGGCTCACACATGAAAGAAACTTGAATGAGGTTTCTCTAAATTTGTCAATTCCAGAAATTTCCATGACAAAGGCAATAAAGAATAGTAAAGAAAAGACTAAAAAGGAGGCAGATAAAAGTACAGATCAGGCTGAGTATCATTATCTGACATGCTGGAGACCATCTAGGTGTATCTCAGATTTCAAGTGCTCTTTTTTGGGATTTTAGAATAGGAACAGACTTTACCAGTTGAACATCCTTAATCTGAAATAGTCTAACATCTGAAGCTTATTTAGTATTATGGTGATGAAAAAGCTTTGGACTTCAGAATACTTCAGATTTCAGATCTTTTGAATAAGAATGCTCAACTTACATAGAAAATTATCAGACAGCTAATAAATAAAATTTTGTAATTTTTCATTTTTTGTGAATTTCATACATGAGCACACTGTATTTGCATCATTTCCATGCCTCCCTCTCACTCCTCTAATTCCTCCCTTTCCCCTCCACTCCCTCTCTAACTCATGGCCTCTTCTTCTATAATTAGCATTGTTACATATGTGAATTTTATGATTTTCTCACACTTGATATCATGAGCTTTTGAAATTTTTGAAAAATACTATATAACTTGTTGGGAGTTTGAAAAACTTTGAAATATAATTTATTTCTCATTCTGTACACAAAAATTCACTTCTGTGTATTCAGAAAATACTCATATTTACACTTGATTTTATACGACCAATTGAAAGTAGCTCCATAAATGATGTACACGTTCCAGGCCCCTCGTTATCTGCTGCTATTCCTCGGAATCATCTGGCCACCCAGTAGCTATCCTTGCTCTTCAGGGCCTGATTAATTCATATGCATTTTTGTGCTATTTTTAAGTCGTTTTCTGTTTTCCATTCCACTGAAAGTAGAGACTTGTTTGCACTTCCTTATGACCTTTTCAAGAAGTGTACCATTAAAATAGTCTAACACAGAGCTGAGTGTGTGGGCAGCTTTCTCTGAAGCACGTGATGCCTAAAGTTGGCTGGGAAGTGAGTGAGGCTGTTGAGCAGAACAGCAACAGTTCCTGCTTTAGGAGTCCTGTGTTGATCACTCACTATGTCCTAGTGTTTTATGGATTCCATCAGTCCTGCAGATCTAGAAGCCTTGCATCTGGGAAGTCAATCAACCCCAGATTGATAATATTAAGAAAAATTGCTTCTGTATTGAGCATGTAGACATCTTCCCTATCATTATTCCCCCAAACAATATGACATTGCAGCCATATTTATACTGCAGCAAATATCATTTAAGTTATTTAGAAACAATTCAAAGTATCCGTGATGGTGGGCATAGGTTCTGAGCAAATACCTTCCCATTTTATATAAGAGGCCGTAGCATAAGCAGGGTTTGTTATCTGCAGGGGGTCCAGGAACCAATCTGAGTGACGACTGTACTATACTAACATTTTCAATCAATTCTACATCCATGCACATATTCTGATGTTATAAGCATTCTGTGGGAAAGCAGATGAAGATTTAAGGAGGTTAGACAGCAGAGCTGTGGCTCAGTGGTACAATGTTCACCTAGCATGCTTGTGGCCTTGATTTCTACCACTAGAATAACAAAAGGAAAGTTCAAACACTTGTATTTGGTCCTAATTATTTGATGGTGGGTTAAGGATTTTAAATATCTTTGAAGTCTATGTTCTTACACAGTTTACTAGAATTCCTGGGAATGGTAGCAGATAATGAGGGGATTGAACCTTCTGGACCGTTTATACAATTTAGGGAGCTACATTGAACTGCTTATATAAAATCAGGTATAAATGTGAATACTCTCTGAATACATAAAAGTGGAGAGAGAGAGAGAGAGAGAGAGAGAGAGAGAGAGAGAGAGAATGTGTGTCCAGGCTCCAGCTGGCCTGTAACTTGATATGTAGACCAGGCTGGCCTCGATCTCACAGAAATACACCTGCCTTTGCCTTCCAAGTGCTGGGATTAAAGTCATGAACCACCACACCTGACCTATAAAAGTGAACTTTTATGAACAGACTGAGAAATTATAATAGATTTCAAAGTTTTCAAAAACTCTGGTAAATTTTACAGTTTTTTTCCCAAAAATTTAAAAAGCTCATGATAAATAACAAATATCAGAGTCTGAGAAAAATGTAAAATTTTATTAGCTGTCTGACAATTCTCTATACTAATTCAGCATCCTTATTCCAAAAATCTGCAGTCTGGCAGACAGTAACATTGCAGGTCACCTAATGCAAAAGATTCTTGGTTATGCACAAGATTAACCTCCTTTCTTGCCCTAATCCTACTACAAAGAGCAAAGTTGATACCATCTGATGTCTCAAGTTTAAAGCTACAAGACTATAGTTTCCTTCTTTGGGATTTTATTCTCAAGGATGTATTGATTTTTCTTGAAGCAATCCTTAGAATTCATGGCAGGAAGTTGAAGTTCTAATCACTCCTAATTTTATGACAGGAAAGCAGTCTTCAGCAAAGCAACCTTTCTTTGGATGGACAGCAGTGCAGGTATGCTGTGGACTATGGCAAGGTTGCCTGGGTTCCAATCCTACGTCACCCACTTAAAGTTCTGTGACCTTGGGCAAGGTTGTTCCTCTGTGACTCAGTTTCCCCAACTCTAAAATGAAGATCATAGCCTTATCTCCCTTATAGAAATGTTAGGAGCATCATCTTAATATACACGCATGGAAACATGAACGCCTGCAGCGCAAGCATTAGTGATGACGGAGATTGTCATCAATAAGCCTTGCCTGGATGAGCAGGCTGAGATACGCTAGGCCGGAAATGGTGCAGCTGGCAATGACCAATGACCAAGCCCAAGAATCCCTGCCTACCATCAGTATAAAAACACCATATACAAGTGGATATTTTCTCAAATTCCAGTTTTCTTGCCAACTCCAAGGCTGGCTGAGAGTCCTTGTTTGTTTTCTTTCCTCTGAGGTGTGTAGGAGCTTCAGCTGTCTCTGGCATTCTATACTCTAGAAGAAAAAAAGCTAAAAACCAACAGAGAAAGAAGTACTGCCACCTTGTGGTTTTTCAGCAAATGACTCCATAGGCCTTTGTGTTACCCAAGTGCTTCCTTGATGGGGTCACTACCACCCTGTGCAGACCTCAAACTGCAGCAGGTGACCAGAGCACCTCCAGGGACCCAGAGTGAAACACTTGGAGATAGAGGGCCCAGGATGTGATCTAGCAGAAGCCTTAATTTAATGCTGAGGAAAACTGAAACCCAAAGACATGAGGGGCCAGAGTTGAGTTGTGGGTCTCTGGACCCTTAACCATAGGGTGCGCACACTATGAAATTCAAATGCTCTTAATAAAAATCAAACTCAAGAGGCTGGGTATGGGGATGCATTCCTATAATCTCAGCACTTGGGAGGTAGAGGCAGAAGGATCAGGAGTTTAAGGTCATCCTTGACTACATAATAGTCAGTTCAAGGCCTTGTCTCAAAAAAATCCAACTCAGGTTAAGCATCCCTCAGTCCTAACAAAGCTGCAAAATCATAGGAAGGAGATGTCATGAGGCTGTTACAGATGGGGTTACATAGGAAATGCTATCTCTTTCGTGCACTCAAGCAAAATGAGGCACAACACAAATTTCTAAGAAAGCAAAACTCTACGTGCCTCTTGATTTTGGCCTGAGGAGCTTCTTCTTTGGGCCTTAGGTTTTATCACAAAGGAACATGGAACATGGAACACTGGATATTGTTCTCTCTTCCTACACCTTTAAGAGTTTGAATTCAGCCAGGTGTTGTGGTGCATACCTTTAATGCCAGCACTTGGGAGGCAGAAGAAGGCAGATCACTTGTGAGTTTGAGGCCGGCTTGGTCTACATAGTGAGTTCCAGGCCTGCCAGGGCTAGCCATATCCTAAATGTTACTGCCCTAGCAAGATCCGGGTCTCTCTAATTTCCAGTGAATACTGATAAGAGTTTTAATGTCAGTTTTAATTTTTAAAATATGATATATTTAGATATAACACTACCTTGGTTCCAAACTGACCTTATATTGAGCCATGACAACATGGGCGTCGTGCCTCCACCAATGATCCAGACAGTGAAGAAGACGATCAGGAGGGTGGTTGTGAACATCATCTGGCGGGCATAGGATGCTGTGTCACGAATGGCTAGTGCAAATGCCATTGCTCCTCTGAGGCCTGTGGGGACCAAAGAGGAAGATCTTCTTGTAATAAGGAGAACTAAAAATTTCTCCTCACAATCCACAGTCATGCATGGGGCTAAAAACTCTAGTCAGATGCTTTGAGAACCAGTCGATTCAAGAAGAACCACTTTTGAGGGGTGTGGACTTTGCTTTAAAGCTGTGTTACAAAATTCCAGCTATGGGGGAAAAACACAGCACTACTTTGTACAGTACATTTTAGAATACTAACCACTCTTACTATTTAAATGATTCTTTTGTTAGTGACCTAAAATAAAAAGAAATAAGTAATAACAAGGTCTCTAAGTCTGTAATCAGCTACTACACAGTCAACAAAAATGTAAAGCAAGGGCTAGGTATGAATATGTCAAATCTGTGGAAAACAGGGCAGACTTTTTCTTAGCAATGGGGGGGGGCAGATCCTCACAAAAGAGTGAAAAGACAGGGTGACCTACACCAGGGTTTTGTTTTGTTTTTGAGACAGGATCTCATGTAGCTCAGGCTGGCCTCAAGCTCACTATGCAACCAAGGATGGATGGCCTTGAACCCTGATCCTTCTGCCTTCCCTTTTCAACTCTGGGATTATAGCTGTGAACTACTATGCCCAGCTGATTATATTTTAACCATACTAGCATTGCTTGCTAAATAAAACTTATTTTCTTTCTTTCTTTATTTCTTTTACCTGAAAACATCATCATGTGCTGAAAATTCCAGCCAATCTTATGCCTTCTGCCCAAGTTGAGGAAGAAGGAGAGAGGGTAGATGTGCGCAGCTCTGCCCAGGAAGATGGCAACCTGAATACCAGGCGGAGGTTAAGGGCCCAACAAGTTTTCAGAATGGCACTTTCACAAACACTCTGGTTGGTCAGAGAAGTTTAGGAATGCTGTGATCCAGAGAGTTGTCCAAAGAAGTCAGACTGCCTAGTTTCCTCCCTAGAACAATCTCACAGCAACAAAATGGGAGTCATTTGGCCAACTTTCTCACCTCCTGGTTCATAGAGATAATTTCTAGCTTATTAAATATGCTGCTGTAACTTCTGAACTGAACTGAACTGGTGTTGTCCAATTCCTCAACCTCTCTAAAACTGAATCCATAAATAAGCTACAGTACCATGGCAGGGGTGAGGGTCAGAAAAAGTATAGTGTGTTGGATAGTACTGGAAGAAAAAGGGAAAAAGGAAAATAATGCCGGAGTCAAAGTATAGAAAATTTGCTAGGGAAGAGCTCACAAACTTCACTTGCAAGCAAACATCATGGAGTCTGAAAATTAAAAATGGGGAACTCTCAAGTAGTCATACCACAAAGAGACGTTCACTCACACAAATCAACCCTAGGAGATTTCTCTGCCTATGTGGTTTAAAAGTCCTTTGGAGATCTAAGAAGTGGAAAAGGAAAATTGTGGAAATGGAGCTCTACTGTGAGAAGCAAAGAATTCGGGAAACCAGTCATCTGTCACTTGACAAGTTTATACAGCACCCAACAGAAAGGGCCGCACAGTCTGCTGGTCAGAGAAGGAAACCCCTGTGGGATCCAGGGAACAGGGTGTTTCCGTTCCAGCAATGCCAGCTGCAGGAGCTACAGCTGCTTCAGACAGAAGCCAGGGCCAAACTATCTTCTACTTCCTGCAAGGAAGAACATAAACTGTTTTTCTGGTTTTCTTTCTTCCTCTCCTTTTTTTGGTTTTGTTTTTAACAAAAGGAAACAAGTAGTGCTTATAAAGCATATTCTATTCCAGAGATGAAAGAAAATTCCTCAAGTGGTCAGCAACCTTCAGGATTCCCAGAGGACCTGGATTGTGGCTCAATCCTCAATAGGCCCTGATCTGTAACCAAGGCCTGACTCTCACTATCTCTCCCAGGATGCCGTGCTAGAAATACAAATCAGAACAGCATGCCAGGTCTGACTAAAGGAAAGACCAATCCCTCCATTCTGAGCTGTTCATCTGGTGAGTGTGTGAATCTACCAGGTGAGACCCTAACTAGGATTCCAGCATTATCTAACAGTTAGGAAGTCCCCTATCTGACCAGGGGACTGTGCAGAGTTTTCAGCATCAGTCTCTGTCTCTCATTCTCTCCCGCCTTCTCTCCCGCCTTCTCTCCCGCCTTCTCTCCCTCCCTCCCTCCTTCCTTTCCTCCATTTTAGACAAGATTCTAAGAGCTAAGGATTCCCACAAGGCCTCAGAAAAGGAAAAAAAAAGCAAATGTCCAGCAATAGGGACAAGATCTTGAAATCAAGCCCTAGAAAAATTCACTTCAATGAAAAGAGCGGTATTTAAGGCCAAATTAACAAATCCTCAGCCACTAAGCCAAGCACCCAGTGTCCCCTTTCAAACACTGCACTCCCAACACCAGAGCAAAGAACCAGATGTTGTTCCATTTCCTCCTTCCTTCTCCTTTTTCCTTCCTTCTCTTTCTCCCTCCCTCCCATCATCCTTCTCTCCCTTCATGTCAATTTTTCATTTGTCTTTTTCTTCTCCTTTCTCCCTCCTTCTTTCCTTTCTTTTTCTAGAAAAACAAAAGTCTTTCCTTGCATGCTCCACAGCAGCAGGTCAGCTGGGGTGAAAGCATGGCCACTGCCCACACATACTCCTAGGCAGCATGGGGATGGGCTGCCTATAGGATGTGCAGCTGACAGCAAGAGGAATAGAACCTTTCCATCACCAAAACCAGGGAACCTCCAGGATTGGAGTTTACATGGCAATGAAATGTCAAAAATAATTCTGGAGACTGACATGGTTGTTGACTTTGAGATTTACCCAGGAAGAAGCTCTATAAAGCAAATGACCCTGCCAAGCATTAGCTTAAAACAGAAAGGCCATCGTACACAGAAAATGCAGGAATAAATGCCAATCCTTGAAATCAAATACTTTAGGAAATACTTTAGGCTTTAGGAAGCACCACAAAAATATCCTGAGCTAGAGCTGGCCCAGTTGCCCATTCAAAACAGAAATAGTAATAAAAGAATTCTTATTAGTGGCAGTATAGCTTCCCCAGCAAGGGCTGCCTCTCCGTGTAGAAAGTGAAGTGAAAAAAGGATACAAAAGCGCCAATGATGAAAATGGGGCTGAAAACGTGCTTCTGGAAGGTGAACAGCGCCAGGCCCATGTAGGAGAAGATGAAGTTCTCTGCCAGGAAGTGTAATACCTCAAAAAGCTGCACAGAGAAAGAAAAAGGAGGGTGTACCCTGCGCCCTGCCTTCCCCTGTTACCTGGCAGCACATTGGTGCCAACATCCTCTCTTACCTGCTTGGTTCGACTTCTTGATTCTACTGACAGATTATTGTAGGTGTAATGAGCTTGTGTGATTCCACAGAAAAGGACAGCTACAACACCTGTCAAGAGATTTAAAAAAAAATTTTTTTCTTGTATTTATTTTAAATTTCTGTGTATGAGTATTTTGCTTGCATGTAGGTAGGTGAACCACGTGCATGCAATGCCTGCAGAAGCCAGAAGAGGGAGCCGGATTCCCTGGAACTGGAGTTAAGGATGGTTATTAGCTGCCATGTAGGTGCTGGGAACTGAACCTGGGTCCTCTGCAAGAGGAGCCAGTGCTCTTACCTGCTGAGTCATCTCTCTAGCCCCAAGAGCTTTTTTTTTTTAGTTTTTTAAAGTATTTTTACACATTTTTTAAATTTAATAACCACATGATTAGAAGCAGCGTTTCATTACAGCTTTAACATATGCAATAACAATTTCCAGAGCAAAGATACATCTCTTAAAAAAGTAGCTGTGAATTTTTAGGTTCACAGTTGAATTAATACAGTTATACAATACTGAACTCAGTATAAACCCTGTAAGACAAAAAATTGAATGAGTTTTTAATCTTTGAAAAAGATCTCCATTTCATTAAAATATACTTTTTCCTACAGAAAGACTCATTTTTAATGCTACTAACACTTAGATGTTTGCACATGCATCTCTAATCTCTATGTATCTGATTATTACTAGTCACAGTCAGTTATACTCGGATCCTTGACACCTCAGTATGGATAAACAGTCATCAGGTAGATTTCAATGGTAATGTTTATCACCTCTACTAGTTAACATGAAGAAAGATTTATGCTTCCTCCTCAAATATAACTCTTTTTTTTATTTGTTGATTTTTTGGTGTGTATATCATACAGAACATCCCAAACAATCTTATTCATCAATATAACCACTTCCAAAATTGCACCCTCCCATAGCTCTCCCACCTCCACTGGAGCCCATATACTCTGTCATCCCTGTTACATCGCCCCCAGCCATTCCCCAGTGCTTGTCCATCTGCTGAATCTAGTCAGCCTATGTTTTAGGAAGATCAGCTGTTCCACATCTAGCAGCAATCAGTTGTCAATATTCCTTTAGATAAGATTGGGGTCTGCTGTTCATTTTCCCAGTTCTATGCTGGATTACTGTCTGGGAGTCTATTGGGCCACTCTGGCCAACAACTCAAAGGAAGGTATCTCCTGTCTGGCATTGTTTCTTGTTATGTAGCCTTGAGCTATACATATTAATCAGTGGAAAAGAAGTAAGCGAACAAACAAACAACAACAATAAAACCCTATTGAAACAAAAAGTTAAGGCAAGCAATTAGGGCATTGTCTTCTTTCCTCTAAACTCTTGCTCTATTTTTCATCTGTACTTGGCATATAGCACTCATTCCCTCAAAGAGTCTGTGAGGACTCACCATCCACTCTTGTCAGATTCCTCTCCTGTTTTTAGAATAAATGCACTTAGTTTAAAAGCAATGTTTTACATTTTTGAGTCCAGGCTTCAGAAGAAAATAGATTTATCCAAGCCCTAGTGGTTTACATTTCTGGTTAAGTATTCTGCTGTACATGGTAAGTGACACACCTGAGAGCATACATTTAATGAAAACTCAAATTTTAAAGATGGGCATTTTGTGATGCTGTATATAAAGATACAGTGTAGTATTTTGAAAACATGATGTAAGTACTTCTTACATGCATTGTACATAGTAATTGTACTTGAGTTTTACAAAGGAAATTTTAAGGCATTTTTATTTTATTTTTAAAAATATTTTATTATTTTTATTTTACGTTTATAAGGGTATTGCCTGCATGTGTGTAAGTACACTGTGTCATGCAGTGCTCGAGGCAGTCAGAAGTGAGCATCAGATCCACTGGAACTGGAGTTACCATGGTTGTTAGACATCATATGGGTGCTGGGAACAGACCCCAGGTCCTCTGCAAGAGCAGTCAGTGCTCTTAAGTGCTGAGCCATTTCTCCAGCCCCCTCAGCCATTTTTTAAAACAAGAGAATTCAAGGAAATAAAATCACACCATGCTAATATTTCAGGTTGAGAATCTCCAATCTGAAAATATGAAATGCTATACTGCTCCAAAATTGAAAAGTTTTTGAGCACTGATATGATACCCTAACTGGAAAATTTCACACCTGACTTGATGTGATAGGTCAAAATCAAAATACAGGTGTGCAACATAGTTTACTCAATGTCCCCAAGAAGAAAAGACCTTCCCAGACACTTGAGCTATAGTATATAACATCTGTTTCATGCATAAAAGTAGTAAAAATACTATATAAAAATTTCAGGCTCTGTATATAAGGTATATCATGAAATAAATGAATTTCACATTCATCTTACTGTATATATGACAGGATTCCAAGATCCAAAAAAAGTTGAAATCTAACACAATTTTGGTCACAAGCATTTCAAATAAGGGCTACTCAACCTGTATATGAAACAAACAAGGATTAAGCAGACCAGTGAACATCTGTGTTCAGCCTCATCTGAGTAGATGTGAAATTGCCTTTAAGGGCCAACATTTTCTGATTGCTGCTGTTTGTAAAATAACAAGCAATATAGGGGAGGATACAGATGAAATCTGAACCTATACACCTAACCTACATTATAATTACAGTGAGTATGCAAAAACCCAAGTTTGGAAGGGTAATGAACTTTAGCCTTAATAAAACAAGACGTTTTTGGAAACTAGATGTTTCATTAAGACAGGCTCTAGCCATACTTAGCAATCTGCCCTATGGGTAATGTCTCTCGTTCCTATAGCCCCTACTGTAGTAGAACAGGAAACCTACCTGTAAACCCACAGGCTTCTGCCAAGAGAAACGTGCTCCAGGACATCAGGAAGAAAAGTGCCGTCTCCAGCAGGGGGAAGCAGTGCAGCTTGGTAAACTTGGTCACGTCAGCACATTGTTAAGGACAGCAACTCTAGGCGCTGGCAGCAGGAACAGGAAGATCCCCATTCTATCAGCCTGCCCCCTCTCTGAGGGCCAACCTTTCCCTGCTTTGGGGGCCCTAAAGCGTACCCCTCATTTTAATGTTGCTGTGTTGGAATGGACCTAGGCCCTTAAGCATATTACTCAACCTTATCCACAACCCAAGCATATTTTTTTCAATAAAGATTAAGCATTCCAGAGGCTGGGGGTGTAGCTAAAGTGGTAAGCACTTGCCTAGTGTGTTTGAGGCTCTGGTTTTAATCAACCCACCACCATACAAAAATAAAAGTTAAAGTTTCCAGTAGAATAGAGGTTACCAGGGCCACAGGAATGGGAAGTTATCATTGAATGGGCACAGAGCTTCTGTCTAAGATGGGAACAGGTATAGTAGGGGTGGCTGTATGACACTGTGAACACACAGTGGTGGGGTCTCTTTTGAGAACAGTGGAGATCCCTCTCCTACCACTGCCATTCAACACATGGCCAATGCAGAACCAACTCACAAATAAATTCATTGAGCAATATCAATCTCTGGGTACCAAGGCCTTTAAACAAAGCTATCACAATTTGTTCTGTCCAACACAGGTGATGCTAGCTACATGTAGCTGCTCGACATTTAAAATGCAGTTAGTCATGACTGAGATTTTGCAAAGAGCACAAGACATGTATTGTAAAGACTAGAATAAAAACTGAGTAATTAAACTCTCATCAATAATTTTTCTAGATTATCTATATTGATTGAATGTTGAAGTGATATGGTTTAAATGTTAGCAATACCCACCAAAGAGGTCTGATGAACTTGGGGGATTCTACACATGTGTAGAGGGACTATCTCCTCTTTCCACATTTTTCTTTTTTGGTTGATTGTCTTAAACTAAGTATCATACCATCCTTAGCTCATGAAAGGCTGCTGTACAGTAACTCCCACTAATGACTTCCAGCTAGTTATGGCTACCTTAATGTCCCTCAACAGCGGACAGCACCAGCAGCCTGGGGATAAAGTATTACCCAACCAGTAGTCTCTGGTTCCCAGCCTCTTCTGGGATTCTCAGTTCCCTTCATCCCCTATAACTGATGTTCCTACCATTCAAAAGAAAGGAGGAGAAGAAGCAACGGGCAAGGACAAAGAAAATCTACAGTTACATTCCCAATCTTTTAAAAAATCATTTAGTGTACTTTACTACATTTAACTGATTCTGTTCTCCTTTATTCACAATCTTTTTAAACAGAATACCTTTTATTTATTCTTTGACAATTTCATCCATGTAAACAGTGCATCTTGCTCATATGCACCCCCACCTCCCTCACTCCCACTCCTCCAGACACCCCCAATACATCTCCTTCTCCCCTTCATTACTTACTTTTTTGTATCCCACTAAGTCCAATTTCCAACTCTTGCTCTCAAACTCTTGGTTATGGGCCCCACCACTGTGCCTGACCCATCTGATGAAGTACCACACTGCAGTAGAACAATCGATTTAAGTTTCTGATCTGAAAGGAAGATCTGAGAACTTTCTCTTTAAAAATGTAATGTTGTATATGTGTACCCAGGGAGGGGCCAAAACTACAAAAAGGATATTAGAGCAGTCACAACACCAGTTACAGCTCCCATGGTAAAAGAGCCACTAAATATACCTAGAAAAATGCCAACTGACTTAAAAAAGGCAGCGGCATCAAAGGCATGCGTGTTTAGCCCTGCTGGCTGATAGGCAACAATGGACCTGGAGTTTAAAAGGGGAGGGGGGGAGAATGAGAGAGAGTGTTAAAAAAAAAAACACCTGTTTACATCATAGTACACTAAGTAGCCCCCACCCTCTCACTACCTCATTTTCCATGGTTTCCGTTACCTGAGGTCAAGCACAGTGTAAAAACATCCAGTGGAAGATTCCCGAAATAAACCATTCATAGGTTTTAAACTGCATACTGTTCTCAACAGCATGATGAAATCTCAAACCATCCAGCTGGATTCTGCCCATGACATGAATTGTTGCTTTGTTCAACGTATGTATGTATAGGAGAAACCATACAAATTTGGCTCAGTACTATCTCTGGGTGTCTTAAACCATATCCCTAGAGGATGAAGGAAGCCCACTATAATTGAAAATACCAACAAACACAGATATACTCTAAGAAACACTGCCCAGGGCAAATACACAATTTAAAATACAGCCACCACAATGTGCTGACATCAGCATTCTGATTACTGCTGAGCAGACAAAGCAGGACAACTTTATCAACAAAGCTGGTAAATCTCATTTAGAAAAAGGCCCTATCCAGTATTTCACATTTTAAAGACAAACCTCCAAACTAGATCCAGAAACACTGTTACTTACGAGGAGAGTACAATGGCAACAGCATCATTCAGGACGCTCTCTCCAAACAGCAGCGCATAAAGATCCACGTCTGCATGCAATTCATTAAAAATTGCCAGCACAGTCACTGAAAAGTAGACCCAAAGCATAGAAATTAGTTTTGGTTTCTGCCCTTAAACCACTGCTTCCATATTTACAGAGGCAATTTGTACAATTAGGTGGGACAAGAAGGCTTGATGGAAAGCAAGGTAGTCAAAGAGCGAAAATGGCAGCTTTCGAATCTGACTGAGGGCTAATGTGACCACTGGGTCCGGTGACCTTGCATCCAAGTACTTTGCTCTCCACCCTAATCCCACCACACTCTGAAAATACCTTACAGAGAATTTTTTAAATCTCTTTTGGTGCATTGGAATGTGTTTGAAAACAGAAACCCCATTTTGCTGACCCCTATTCTCTCCAAACCCAGCATAGAATCAGGGCAGAGAGAAGACTATGACCAAGGCTTGTGAAACAAGATTGTCTTTGTCAATGATAGACTATCTATAATAATACTTGTTGGGTTGGGGTAGGGGTACGGGGATATGACAGTGTCTCTTATGTAGCCCCAGCTGGCCTTGAACTCACTCTGCAGCCCAAGCTGGCCTGGAACTTACAATCCTCCCACCCCACCCATAATCACACTCCTCACAGATTTCACATTTCTTCAGCATTTTAAACTATCTTCAGATCATTTTCAAACTTTCAACCTCTAAACACCTTTATATCCTAAAAACTATGCCCCCAACGCTGATATTTACAGTAGTGAATAAAGTAAGAAAAATAAAATATCTGTTCATTTAAAATGAATAGCTACCCATTGTACATAACATGAAATATTTTTTAATATTTTATTGAATTTTTTTAGAATTTCAATGTATTTTGATCATATTCAAACCCCCTCCCCTATCTGTACCCCCTTGAATTCCCTGTCCCCTGCCTAGTTTCATGTCCTCTATTACTATTTTTTTAAGACCTACTGAGCACAATTCATGTCTGCAAATGCCCTTTGGTGTGAGGCCATCCCCTGGAGCCTGGTTAACCTATCCAGCATTACAGCCTTAAAGAAACTGACTCCCCATCTCCAAGTAGCTAACACTTGTCAATAGTTCCTCAGCTGGGGTTGGGGCTTCTTATCTCCCCCACCCATCATGTTGGAATTTTGTCTGGCTTGAGTTTATGAAGGTATTTTACATGTTGGCATAATTGCTGTGAATTCCTATGAGTTACTGCCCTGCTGTCTGGAAAACACTGTTTCTTTGTATTCATTTACCACCTCTGGCTCTTACAATCTTTCCATCCTCTCTTCTGCAAGGATCCCTGAACCTTGGGAGGCAAGGATTTAACACAGGTGTCCCATTCAGGACTAAGCAATCTGCAATCTCGTATTCTCTGCATGTTGACCAGCTGATGAATTTTTTTTAAGACTACAATTTTGAAAATAAAAACCGAGACAAGAACCACTATTTTACATTTTTGTAAACTGTTTTTAATGCTTGGAACAGAAGGCTACTTCTCATATGCATTTCTCCATCTAAGGGACAGAGAATATCATATCACTGTGCAGCTTCTGGAAAACCCCACAGCACATGAGGGAGAGATGAGAGTAAAAAGGACAAGGAACGTATTACTTTTATTATAAAATCAGACTTGATCTGATAGGTCCCTGTAAAGGTTTTGGTGACCCCCGGGTCAGGTACCCCAGACCACACATGGTCAATTACTGCTCCAAAGCAGCGTTTCTCAACCTCAGCTATGCTGGCATCTGGGGTCAGATAATGGCCTTGTGAGAGGTGGCCTATGTACCATATGACAATTAGCTATATCTCTGGCCTCTATCAGCAGAAGAAAGTGGAGAGGCACACACATGCAGCCAGTTTACCTCCAAGGGGCAAGTGAGGTGCCAGTGAAACCCAAAGGTAGTGTGGTAGAAAGATGAAGTACCTAGATGCCTGGTTAGAACAGGAGCCATGGCACCAAGCCACAAAACGGACTCAAGATAAACATCTATTTGTTTAAGCTGGTATGAGCCAAGCTTTTCTGGTATTTGTAGCCAAAAGCACACTAATGATATAATTAGAACACAAGAGCAAATGCTTTGTTTAGTGAGCTATTATAAGCAAGTCAATTTTCTTTCGATCTCCTAGTTCAAGAATTTGCTAGCCCCTCTCATGTGTCCCATCCCAAACTCAAGCCCCATTCACTCAAAAGCAACAATTATGTGAATTTTATACGGATCATTTTTTTTTTGCCTTTCTTTATAAGCACCCAGGTGCACAATCCTATGCTTCCTGTTTTCTCTTTGCTTCCTGTGTGTGGATGAAAATGTGATGAGCCAGTTACCTGCTCTTGTTACCATGCCTTCCTCATCATTAATGGACTCTATTCCTCTGGAATCATAAGCTAAAATAAACCCTTTCTTCCTTCAATTCCCTTTAGTCATGGAATTTTATCACAGCAATGGAAAAATAACACATTTAGTTTTACATGGACTATTAAATATGGCCATTTCCCCAGTACTTTTCCCTTTTTATTCAGCCTAGCCCTCCAGCCCATGGGATGGTGCCACCCACTTTCAAGACATGGATAACCCCCTTTATTTAATCCCCATTGGAAACAATCTCACAGATAACCTCAAAGGTGTTCCTCATTAATCCCCCAGGTGTTTCTTAATCCAATCAAGTGGACATCTGAAGTAAATCATCACATTTGGAAAAGTGAAGAATTAGACTACAGTACTTTGAAGAGTTTTTCTGATTTTTAAGTATGGTTTGCCTAAAATACTATAGTTGCCAATAATAAAAACAATACATAATTAATTATCAATGACAATAAAGGATGTCACGCCTCATAACAATAGATATTTATATACAACTGGTCTGAATCTTAGCTCCTCTTTTTCCCTACTATCACCTTATAAAGCAGGATGGAAACTCTGTAGTGCCTCCTCTCCTGAGCAAGTCTATGCCTGACCACAGTGAGTAATGTGCCGGCAGCAACAAAAAGAGGATGGTATAGGGATGACAGACTGGGATAGTAGCTTCTAAAGGAAGGGATTTGCTATGGTTTGAATAAAATTTGAGTGCCCCTGAAACATTCACATAAAAATGGTTGGTCCTCTGGGTGGTGGTATCAGGAGATGCTGTGAACCTTTGGACAGGTGGAGCCTAGTGGTGAGTACTCAGGTCACTGAAGGTGTACCCTCAAAGAGAATTGTGGGACCCTGGTCTCTCTCTGTTTCTGAGCTCCTGGCTTGAGATATGACCACTTACTGAAGCATGTACTCATACTATTGCCATTCTGTATACTTATCAGAGCCCAAACCAATAGGACCTGACCTTCAACCTGAACCTCCAATTCTGTGAGCTAAACAAACCATTTTTCTTTATTAGTTACTTGCCTCAAGCATTTCACTGTAGTGATTACAGTCAGCAAAGCTGACTAATACAGAATTCAACTGACTGCCCTATCACAGCAGGATCCTCTGAAAAAAAATCACAGAATAGCTGACATAGGAAGAAGGCTAAAATCCTGTATCTGTTCATTCAACAGACTTTTCTTGAACACATTACCTGTATATGAAAGACAACATTTGTGAATGCTCACTATAAATCAGCAATATCATGATGTACAAAACGGGTTTAATCCAAAAAGCTATGGGAGCAGATCACTAAAGGGTCTAGGAAGAGTGACCAGGCAAATGGCATAATGGAACCAAGTCTGAAAAGATGAGCAACTGAGTGGTGCATCTAGAGAATTAGTCTTGGATAACACAGATCACAGAGTTAAAACCGATAATGCTGATTGACTCTAGGAGGACAAAAATAACAGTATTAAAATTAGGGGAATCGGAGCTAGAAGTGTAGCTCAATGGTAGAGCACATGCTTAGCATGCCCTGAGTTTGATTACTCACACCCTTCCCCTATGGATAAATGCACACACAAATCAAAACTAGAGAAACCATCTCATAAGGATTCACAGGAAGAAATAGCAACCATCCTCTCTGGAAGCTGTCTATAAATACACCACAAGGTGGAATGTTATATTTTCTTTCTTTAATGGTGGGATCCATTTAAAATGGCCATCCAAAAAAATGGCATAGGCTTCCATGACACCAACCACAAATGGAAAGGGCTCTTGGTAACAGAGAAGCTTGAATGACCCCACATATATAGTGTCATCTTCAATGGGAAAAGCAAAGACTGATGTCTTATAACTTCAGTCAAGTGTAATCAATTCTTATTTTTTTTCCTATCAGTGAATGTCACTCCATATACCAATACCAGAAATTTTGTTTGATGACAGGAACAATAAGTCAATCTGATCTTGTGATTCCCCTTAAAACCAAGCTCTTGCTCAATGAGCCATAATCATCTGTTGGTCATTTATCAAAAGAGAGCTTACAGTTGTAAATATGTATATTTTGTTGCTCAGAAACATCTCTCAATGCTCCTAACTTAGACCATGAGTAGCCAACAAACAGGTGAATGTGGTAACTCACATCTGTAACTTCAGCACTAGGGAGGCTGAGGCAGGAGGACGGTCACCAGTCTGAGGTCAGCCTGTGCTACACAGTGAGTTCTAGGCCATCCTGGGCTACAGTGAGACCTTGTCTCAAAAACCAAATCAAACAAACAAGTTAGCACAGCTGGCCTAGTTCCAATTAGGCCCACCAATACTTTATGCTTTTGACTTCACTGATTCTGAGCCCCCGTGCTCCTCCTTAGTTACTTGCTTTCAGTTGACTTTTAAAATCACTAATTTCAGGATTCATACAACTAAACTACGTAGTATTAGTACCCCACTAGCTTTTCTGTAGATAACATCTCTGATATGTGAGTCACAATAATAGTAACCTAAGTAACAACTTCAAGGCCATTTTTGTTGATACCACCAACTCTTCACCTGGTTTTGTGCAGGTGTCTGATAGGTCACCATTTGACATCAAGAAGCCAAAACCTCTTCCCTCACATCATATTAGCACTACCATTTTCTGATCCTGTATCCCATGAAGAGCCATGAGGACTGATTGCACATGTGTAGACCACTGATTACTTTACCTCCTGTCACCTTTCCCCATGCCTTAAATCATCCTGTTTCATTATCCCATAAATAGCCCCAAACCCTATCCTCAGAAAAAGGATTTGATACTTGGCTCTCTCACCTTCACTCTGAGCTGCCTGGTTTGAATAAACCTTCTGTTTTGCAAAATGTGTAGTTTCAGGGATTGATTGAAATATTGCACTACAGGCAAATGGGCCTGGTTCAGTACCACCCTCTAACTCTGAAACTCTGATAGTTTCGATCTCTTTTATGACTCAAGTTTTCAAACAGCAGATTTTCAGGGTAAAACACTTTTAATTTGCAAAAACATTTTACATTTCAAAAGATTTCCATTAAAAAAGCAGTTAAAGTTAATACCTTGATGTCTAGCAAGTTTAAACTTTTAATTTTCTAGAACTTTCATTTATACAAAACTCTTACTGTGCCACTCTTCATAGGCCAAATAAAAATGATGCAGCATGGTAATGCCTTCCATTATTTTCAACCACAGAATGGACACATTAAAGGGATGTAAACAATTACGCAGATAATCTGAGAAAATAGGTCTCTGTATCCAGTTAAGTGAATCAACATTAAGAGCTTTGAAAACAACGTCAGTAATCTTTGTCACACTCATCTCCCTTTACTTGTTGCTTGTACTACTAAGAAGCTAATAATAAAGCTATACACAAACACAATTAGTAATATATTTTCAGACAGGTTAAATGCTTTTCTCAGGCTTGTGAACGATCTATTTCTCAATAAGATCTCCTCTGGAGAGAGTCATGGACAGCTTAGTATTGAAATAACAAAGCTACTTTTCAGACTGCTATTTAGAAACATGCTTGAGTAGTGATGATCTATTATTTATCTTTTAAACAAACATGAGGAAAACAGAAATCTCTGCCTGTGTCAGACATGCACAGAGGCCAAGAGAATCAGCAGATGTTATGCTCAATGCTTTACATGTGTGGCTGCGTTTAATTCTCACAATAGCCTTAGGAAACAGGAACCATTATTTCTACTTTACAGATGAGGAATCGGATGGAAGAAGAGAAAGTGGACACAAGGCAGCTGATCAGGGACTAATCCAGCTAGAGCTTAACCCAAGGCCTATGGCTCCCCATCTCACCTTCTGTTCACAAAGTAGGGTGCTTCAACCATCAAAACTTTCAATATTAATTTACTTATAATGTCTGTGATAATATTCAGAAGTATAAAAGGTCAATGTGTTTTGGAACATTAAAATTCTTCAGAACTACACAATTGTCTAGCACTATATTGTTTAATGTGGTGGCCACTAGTCACATGTAGTCATTTAATTTAAATTGTTTAGTACTAAATGAAATCTAAAACTCATTTAGTTGCAGTAACCCACATTTCAAGGACTCATCAGCAGCCAGTGACCAGTGGCTGCCATAATAGACTGAGCAGATTATAAAACATTCTATCTTTGCAGAAAAATCTGTGGAATAATAATGATTTAAGGATCCCTAAGAGGCATAGTCAAGTGAAAACTATTACTATCTTCAAGATTATTACCATCTAAAATATTAGAGGGTGTTTTACACATTGAGAAGACTTTTCTATCTCCATTATTAGGACAAGACCAGGCTTTTCTCCATAAATTAATTTCTAAGATATACAGTCAGTCCTCAGTATCTGAAGAAAATTTAGTTCTAGGACCCCTCACATGTACACCAAAATCCATAGATGTCTAAGTGTTTTATATACAATGGAATTGTATTTGTATAGAACCTATGTGTATCCTGTTGCACTTGAAAACATCTCTAAATTGCTTTTAACAGGTAATAACAATGTAAATGCTATGCAAGCAGTTGTTATATTGTATTGTTTAGGGAATAAGGGCATAAAAATCTACATTACATGTTCAGTAGAGACAGAGTTATTAAAACTG